GAGAAACGTGTCTCGAGCGTTGTCTTTACTAGGCGCGTAGAAAATTTTTTACAGCATTTTTCAAGCTTTTAACTTGGTTGGGGGCTTTCTTGTGACAGGTATCCTATCTCTAATGGTTCTGTAAAGTATGGATATGGCAATTTCGATCAGATTCGTTTTCAAGTTCTGAACTAACCGTAAGCCATCAGAATTGGAACTGTTACAAATCCATTAGAACTGATCTAAAACTGCCACAACTCAGGTAACAGTTTTGAAGACTTTATGAAATCTAGTAGAAAATCAGTTTAAAAGCACTCCTCACCAATGAAAACTCGTGTACCATCAGTGCGGATGCTCAAAAAAATTAGAAAAACTTCATTAAATACTTGAAGGGGCCACAGACGCAAGAAAACACATACATCACTTTGTGTGCCAAAAGGTTGGCAAAATGTACTCAGGAGTAATTTGCTGTTCTAATGTAAGATTAATAAATCTATTCTGTTTATGAGAAGAAACTGATCTTATTTTCATTGTTATCGTGTCATTGAAGTATCGATAATTCTAGACGGAAGACCGATCCACCAAGATCAGGACTTTGCTTTCAATTAGATAAGACGAGAGAATGGGACAGTATAGAATCAAAACAGATTTCTCTTCTTCTATTTCGTAATTTTCCAAAAGGGTGAGACGCGGTATTAAAAACAAATCTTATGCATCATCAGTACTACCCGTGTGCTCAAATTTTTAAGAATTTTATCAAACGTTTCCTAATCATATCATATTACAGTCGTGTTTACTAGGTTTTGTCGACTTAAAAATACATATCGTCATTCAAATGAGCGCAAAAGATGGCGGATACAGAAAAATACCCATGAAACAAATCGTTCGTAGACATTATTACAACTAAGTTGTTGGCAGATAAATTTTCTTGTTTGTAATTTAATAGATAGCTCAATCGTTTCTTTTGTCTATATTTTAATTCATTCTTTCGATTCTATCCCTAACTATTGGTTACGCCTCGTAATCATTCAAGCAGCATTTTGAGCAAAAAGTGCTTCTTTCACGGAATCAATCGAGAAGGGATGCGATTGTTCCATCTTATGCGAAGTCATAGTACGAGTCTGCTTGGGATTTTTTAAACTCATGGAATTCTGTTCACTGTTGACAAGAGGAATGTATGTGGCTTGATCATTTGAGATCGTACGAAACGCAGAAAAAAAGAGTTAAACTAGCCATTGCTACTAAAGAGGCGGATAATCGCTACCATAAGCTTCACTTATGTTTTCGCCTTTAAAGTGACTTAAAGGAATAAGGTATAACTAAAGTTTTGTATGGGATATTCAGTGCAATATCTCTATGAACAACAAAATACTTAGGGCAATCCAAAAGTAGTGAGGAAGACATTTTATTTTCCTAAGCAGAGCTCTAAAAAAGTTTCTTTTTTATTCATAGATAGAGTGTGTTTCACTCTATTTTCCTATGCTTTTTTATCATTATTAAATTGTTATTATAATAACAAATTTCGGGTAGAATCTGTTTTTGTTACATATATGCTGATAGCATGAACATGAATGCTTGTGAGCATTTTTGGAATAACTTTTGATAGAAATGAGATAGATAACTGTGGTTTTCGTCATTGAAAAGAGAAAATGAAGACGTATAAGGCTATGCATTACTGATGTTATCTATCTGCATTTTGTAAGGTTTTAGCTGACCTTTTAAAAAGGAAATTTATTTAATGGCTTTTTACAGTGGGCTTTCGATAATCGTGTACATATTCGAACCGCTAGTCGAAGATCAACAGACTGCAAAAGGCTCATCTGTTTAACTTCAATGATATGTGGATAATATCTATCCTAGATGAACCTCTACTACAATAATCTGTCAAATTTTTTGCTTTTCCTTTTTTCCCGGAAACAAGCGTTTTTCCAACGGTTGAAAACTTGAGTAAAAAAACTATTAAAAATCATATTACAAAAAAATCGATAGTACATGATTTGATGCGCCTTTATCTCGTCTTTTCAAACGCGAAAACCACGGTTATCTATCTCGTTTCTATCAAAAGTTATTCCAAAAATACACACAAGCATTCATGCTACTAGCGCGTATGCGAGAGAAACAGATTTTATCAAAATTTTATTATTATAATAACAGTTTAATAGTGATCAAATAGCATCGAAAACTAGGGTGAAACATGTTCTATCTGTGCGTAAAAAGACACTTTTTTAGAGCTCTGGTTAAGGAAATAAGATATCTCCGTAACTACTTTTGGATTGCCCTCAATATAAAGTGTACGACGGATGTTTGGACGAATGTTATGTTTCTGTGTATTTTCACATATTCATTTTTTCAAACTTATCCTTGTTGTATAGAATTAAACCCTATCGACTGTAGTATTTTGTTGTCGTGTTCGCACAAACCTCCTGCTTGAAAAATGGAAAACTGAACCTTAGAAAACCTACCTTGTTGGAAAAAGTTTTCTTACACTGTAGAAAAATTTATCAAGACAAAAGAAACCTGCACTTTCAATGCATCATATAGCTTCTCTCATGTTCTTCTGAGCTATATTTGAATCAAAGTAGCACTTCATAGTCAAAGAAAAGAACAAGGAATGGGTGCGTGAAAATATGCGAAAAAGCTGCGTTTGCTTAAGCTTTGGTGATACGCTACGGTGCGTCTCGTGATGCGCGCTACGAGATAGATTATTGCATCGAACATTGCAATGGTATTGCTTAGATGTGCAAATACTGACGAGAAAGTCATCCTCATGATCACCCACTTTTTCGGTTTAAAGTGGTTGATTACCTCGGGCAACTTTCTCGTGTATACTGCATGGTAGGAATAATACTATTCAAGGTCAGTGACGGTATAATCTCGAATAGGAGGTATGATGAGTTTTACACCAAACGAAAGCCCGTGAACAATGGGATTCATGAATATAACTAACTGGTGTTAATATTATAATGGACTATACAAATGCACCATTTTTCGAATTTCGAAGACATAATTTGACAATTTTATGAGTACTTCAACAGAAAAATATGAGACTCATGAAATTTTTTCCGCGGTACTTATATACAAGTTATCAACTCGAAAACTATTTTCAAGTTGCTCAATATTCCTCGTAAGTCGCGAAATCTTACCTCGCACTGATTACAAAAAGAATGTAATATCACTGATCAATATCAACATTTCAGTATTGCATTGTTTTTGTTATATCTTTCCTTTGAAACTTCTTGTTCACGAGCTCAGTCAGTATATTCGCATAGTTCCCACTTTTGTCTTCTTTCTTCAAACGATATTTTTTTATATTGTATGTAGTAGAATATCACGCTTAACGTTTAACACTGAGTAACGGAGGTGACCATTGTTAGCATAAAATAAGTCGATGGGAAACGCACATCCTTCGGTGGACTTTTTTGTTTGATTTTATGAAAGGCTTTGATAAATTCTGAGTACATTCGAGCTTTGAACAAGAAATCTTTATATGTTTACTGCATGATAGGCTCAACATAGAAGCTTATCAGAGTAATCGACTGGACAGATCACTGAATGTTTGTATAATAAATCTTCGATGCTGAGTATTTCTCAAAAGCTTAAATATCGTTTTCCAAAGTATTGGTCAGCCGTAGTACATAGCGAAATTTCAAAAAGTGTGGCTCATGATAGAATTTTGATATATATTTCTTTCTATCATCGTGAGGTGTGCTTCACCCGACTTCTATCATTCGATTTCAGTATCTTCCACATGAAACACCTAAACAAGAATAGATTTAACAGGCCAGACACTTTTACAGTTGATGTCTGTACCATGACTCATCTTCGCGACATCAAAACAGACTATACTAAATCCGATATTTCCTGCTTTACCGTACACGTAGAATTTCAAACACATTTCTGACAAGCTAATATGTGTTTTCCAAGACATTGAATAAAGCTTTTGTTAGGCGATTCTTGAAATAGTTGCACTTTATGGGCTACTCTGATCTTCAATTTAATATTTGTAGAATCGTGTGTCATCAACATGAGCACATCTGACAGTTCAACAGCTTCCAAGAAAACTCTTCACACTAACGACTATTTGACCAAATTTAACACAGATGCCTACCTCAGCGCATACTCTTTTTTCGAAGTAAACCCATCATTCGATTGTTTGCTGAAAAAGATGATAAATATCTTTGTCCAAAACAAACATCGTATCGGTCACGGACAAGCTCTTGAATTTGGTGGTGGACCGGCTCTTTTTTCATCATTTATCTTGGCACAATATGTTAATTCTATAACATTCACTGATTACACACCAAGTAATTTGAAAGCAATAGAAGACTGGATCGAACAGAATGATGATGCCCATGATTGGACTGAGATGTTTGAGTTCATAGTTGATTATTATAAAGAAAGCGCAAGTGGTCATCATATTTCATTTTCTCATCACTTCACTATTTTTTTTTTCTTTTATAGTCAAATGACCAGTTGGCCAATCTGAACAATTGGGAACATCGATTACGTGATGCTTTAAATTATGGAAAACGTTTAAAATGTGCGGATGTAAATGGCGATCACTGCCCAGTTCTCAATGGTCAGGATCGATATGACGTTATTTTGAGCTCTCTCTGCTTGGACTATGCTTGTCTTACTCTGGAAACGTATAAAAACACTCTTAAACGAATGAAGAATCTCCTTAAACCTGGTGGTTGCGTAATTCTGACACACGGTCGAAATCAGACATTCTATACTGTATTAGACAAAGACTTTTTTGCCTTACCTGTTGATGAGAAGAAGGTACATGATGCACTCGCTGAAGCAGGCTTTACAGATATTCAGGTCACAGGCATAGATAAGCCTCGAAACAAGTATGCTGACGCTGATGGTTATGTTGTTGCTTGCGCATTCAAATCTAATGAAGAGTGAAACAAACACTACAGACGATGATTTATTAATAAAGTGGTTACGTATAACTCTCGATCCTACGAAGCTACCTATTGTTGTTACTAATTCACTTGACATATACAACTACTAATTAATATATTCTTGTCCCTTTTCTTCTAAATTTTCTCAATTCATATTTAGTTATAAAATAAGTAACTCGACCAAGTTGTTCCTGATTGTCTGTGTCTCTTAAAATGAAAAACAAAAGCTGTTTCAATTTATGAGCTCAGACACTTGCTTATTTGTCTCATGGTATTTTTAAGCATACTCATTTTCCTTACTGAAACTTTCTCAAGTAAAAATTTAACCGCTCGCCGGTCGTTTATGGCTAGTCATCCATGTAAGAGCTAATTGCAAGTTTATTACGCTGTAAAGCTTTTAGACATGAAAGTTTTACCTCTCCTGTGTTGCTTGGTCAATTGTTCTGACTTTTACTAAACTCAACTAAAATGTTCCTATCAACAAACAAAAACTTAGTAGGATAACTTGAATAAATTTTAAGATATTAGCTGTAAAGGGTCCAAAAATTTAGCTTTGCCTTTCGTTTATTCAACGAAGAGCTACGCCACCAAATTGTGTTTTGTTACTTGAGTTTTCATAATTGTCGATATTCACGAGAGAATTTACAGTTCTAACATGTTTAACTCATCCGTTCTTAAGATGTGCTTTTTATTATATTTATATCGATAAACCATGTAAACGAATAAACAATATTTTTATCACGCCAGGTTAAAATTTATCTAACCATATGATACTCCATGAAAAACCGATAGAAGTCATGTGACATAAAGAATGATTGATATGATGGAAAGTTACTACGAACGACAAGATGGTTGTCTTACTTTTCCTTGACAAAAGGTACATAGTAAAATTTCTAAATTTATGTCACAGAAAAAATGTAATATAATATTTTTAGTTTCCTTGAAGCAGATTCCTGCGATACGATATTACACTGACGAAATTTGAAGCACTTTATCCGTCCGTTGTCCTTCAAAATAGGTCATGATATTGAGATCTGGCGACTAGTTTTTTGCGTGAAAGATGGGAAAAAGTATCACTATTTTACGGGCAATTTCTGATCTTATAAAGTATTTTAATTCAATCACCAACGAAGATACTTCCGCATGTTACATATATATATATATGCAGGGCGGGTCACGAATATCCCAGCGATAAGAAATGTTAATATCTACCTAGATGTTGCCCAAATAAGATGATATTTTACTAGTGATAGAGACTTACTTAGAACTTCTGTTGGCACGAAACAATTGAACAGATCAATGTTATAAAAAAATTAATTAAATTACTTGAACTGTATAAGAGATATTTGAGTTAACTTCCTATATAGGCGTGTCAGACACTCTGTATAAGAAGAGCTATGAGACACTTTTTTTTCCTTGCCATAGAGTTTTCATCGTAAGCTCATCTCATGTATCCACAAGAAAAAGAAATAAAACGGACTTGAAAGAGGGAATGTCATATGAAAAGAAGTACAATAACAATTGTGAAACGGATTAGTAGTGCCAGCGTAGTCCATGGTGTTACTTTTGTATCTGTTGATGTTACCAGTGTTCAGTAAACCGAAATTGCGCATCTCTTATCCATCGCCACTCTTACAGGTTGGAACTCAAGAATCGAATAGGTCTACTCATCATGATCATGCCGATAATAAGCGATGTTATTCAACCGTTCAGATGTAGTCTCTGATTTCTCGTATCAAACAAATATAGTTAAAACAGGTTTCTATATATTGAATAAAAATATGGCCTATATGCACATATTGCATTTACATAGCTAAATAGTAGAAATATCATCAATATATACTCAACATCAAGGTTGCTATATAATAAATGTTGTGAAATAGATATCAGATTAACAATTGGTGGCACTTGACGTTATTTGTCGTTTTCGCGTCAAAAACCGTTAGGCATGAATACGAGTAAAGGAGCAGATAAAAGTATGACACTCACACCCATACCCATCCATAAAAATGAAGTTTGAGATGTTTGTGTATATGATAACTGTTGTTTTGCTGGCATTTGATATATCTACACTAAACTTTCAAAAAAATTCGTTCAGATATTCATCAGAAATATCGAAAATGTGGGGGACGGCAGGCTTTTCCATTAACGGAGAATCACATCTATGACATCTTTCTTTTTTCCTAGTGCTATCATAACAAAGTCTTTCAATGACGATGCCTCTGAGGGTCGCTCACCGAAGTGGTGAGATCAGATGTATCAACATTTTTGCTGAAAATAGATCGCCTTCCAGCTACGTACGCATTCTTGTTTTCATAGCGACAATGGTCTAGTGAGATCTTTGAGCATGATCAAAACACGCTTGAGTACACTTGACTTAGCACACCCTTATGACAACTAACAAATACTTTTGGAAACTTATTGCTAGATGTCTGTATTCTAAAATACAATATCATGCAAGTCAAAGTCATGTTCACCGTGAAAAATTAACATGCATGCGAATCGCAGTTAAACGGAAGCGCAAATTATTCACGCTTAAGTTTTATTAAGTACCATATACTACGATAACTTATGTTCATTTTCTCCAATTTATCAACCATTGGCTATCGCATTTTCCACACATGATCGGTGATCAGTCGTCTTTGTAGCTGCCGGCACCGATGCCGATGCATTAGTTTTATTCGGTAAAAGCATACGTAGACCAGGTTCTTGCTAAAATAGAAGTAAACAGAAAGATTCATAGCAGCTGAGCATGAGTGTTTTTGACCGGTATACCTGCAATGCTTGTTCCACTTCATCGGCTGTCATTCTTGTGTATCCACGATTAATAAAATCATCGTACATTGGAAGAGTGCTTTTGCGATTCGGCATGTCTAGTACTGCCGCTATGGCATTATAAACGGTATTAGTGAACTGGTGAATATTCGTGCCTTCGTCATCGTAGTCATCCACATCCCATCGTGCGAAAAGACTCTCTTGCATATGCCATTCTTCGATATGAGGCGAATAGTCGGAACATTTACCCACGCTTTTCTTATTGTGCTGGAAAGAATATAAGACAGGATGGATATAGGCACTCTTCTCAGTGTGAAAATTGTCAGCAGGATGGGTGAAATGGTGTGTTGGAATATCATCACCGTACACATTGAAGCCATATTTCAAATAAACTTCCACGCGACCCACCCATGTGTTATTATCAGCCCACCGCTGTCGTGCGTAATCTTGCGGAAACACTTCCCATACTTCAGCCATGTAAGTAGGTGTACTGGTTATGTCTGATTGATGCATAGTTTTAATTGTAACGGTACAACATCCGTAATTGAACAATTCAAACAATGGCGCTGTCAAGCTGACTGTTTGCACAATAAACTGTGATAGTGGCTCGAAGGTGCCGTCGTTCTTTGGATCTAATACGCATTGAAATAAAGGAGCCAATGGTTGTTTGTGGTAACGTTCTGCAACTATTGATGCAAGCGCCTGAATGTTGTACCGAAAACCGTGAACAAAGCCTGATGCTGCGTCTCGATCATTGACACGCATGGATCCACCAACAAAATACAAGTTTGGAACATTCACGCTCTCCCAGCTGGATGTCAATTTGCAAAATTTGCCGGTTTCGTCTATCTCTGGTCGCACGTGCTCAGTGTTAAAAACTTCTGGCACGAAGTAGTTGAAACCGCAGCAGACGATAACATAATCAGTCATCAAATCACGGTGTCGCCACATCGGTGTTTCCCAGTGTGGATCTGGTGTAGACGTTTTTAGAATAAGACGACCATCTTCGTGGCGCTTAATTTCCGTCACGCGCTCTGCAGAAATAGCTGTGAGTGACTTCAACTGGGCCAGATCGTAACTAACAGATGCTTGTGTACGAACATCATGCACATTATGTGTCTGACGCGCAAACTTCAAAGTACTACGAATCAAAATTACGGTGTCACCCGCGATGGCTTTCAATGAATTTGCAACTTCAAACGCTGAGTTACCACCTCCAAGGATAACGACGCGCTTGTTGCGATATCGTTCAATATCAGCGGGATCAAAATCGCGATAAAAAATTCCATGCTCTAAAATTCCACGAATATTAGGCACAACAGGACGAGTTGCGCCTGTTGCCATATACAGACGCTTCGCCACAAAGGTTTCATTTAATGCAGTTTTGATTTCAAACTGGTTTAAATTATTTCTTGTTACTGACGTTACCTCACACTTGAAGTGCGTATGCTTGGTAATACCCCAATTAGGATGATTACCCACGTAGTCTAAATAATCTGCAAAGCGTTCGGCTTCTGGAAACAAACTATCGCTCCAATTGGTGAATAACAGTTTTGGATCTTTCTTCGAGTCCTCTTCAGTAATAGTGCTAAGCGTGTGCCAATCATAACGTCGTGCATACGACCATGGTGACTTGGCCGGTAAATGCTTCTTATTCAACGAGATAAGCTCTCTACATCTTGGAAAGTAGCGAAATTGGCCACTAAAACTAGACGACCGCTCCAACAGAATATACGGAATACCTCGGACTGTGAATTCCATTGCCAGATTCAAACCACCGGGTCCACCACCAATAATCACGTTATCATAAACGATGCCTTGAATATCGTGCTTGCCATTCTCATAGCTTTGATCAGCAACCTAGAACAGTTAGAAGCGCTAAAAGAGTTGCAAAAACGGAAAAGAAATGGCTCTGGTTGATGCTATTTAATAAATAACATGTTAACACATCATCTTAAGCAATCCAGATGCTCTGTCATTAGCTTAGCTACTAAAAATAGCAGGCTTGAGAATAACAGTATAAGCGAGTGGGTCAAGAGTACTACAACAACTGCACTCACATCTGCTCCTTCATCCAGACTCAACGATCGGTGCACAAGTTTTTATTAAAACTCGAAAAATACGCAATTCCGACTATGTTATTACAAATTTCGCCTCAGCTTCATAAGTACCTTTAGTAGATTTTTTTGATTGTAATGAATCTCTTTGACTCGTAAATCAGCTAGTGACATGTAAGAAATCGATAATTCCATAGAGCAGCTTTCACTCTATCAGAAGACGAAAGATTATACTACTTTTGGCCAAACCATCACGAAGAATAAACTCGATAAGTAAAAACGCTCGAAATTCCATAATTTGTTACATATTAGCCTTTTGCACTAGATTTTTCAAGTAACAAACGTACAAGAAGACTTCGTGCATAAGTGATAGAAGTTGGAGTTTCAGATTGGCTTTTTTGTACTCTTTCGCACCCATTACTCTATTTCGAAGAAGAAAAGCTTTTGTCAATCAATGTTTACTGTTTTGAGCGATGGAATCATGGGTCCTAACTTGGTGGCACACCCTTTCCCGAAAAATTTTCGACTTTTCATTCTTTTGCTGAGATATAAGGATCGATGACCTTCGTTTGTAAAAAATTTTCGCAAACCCAACTCTCACTTTATATCAAGAAAAACACAAAAACAATAGGTTGTGTTATATTTTTGCAGAACTAATTTTTCAGACATCAAAGACCGTTTTGCCGCTTCTATCTAGTCTGTGTTAAGCCTGATGGAACTTAAAAGTTGCCAGTAAAATATCGCAGACTTCGCAAAGTTTTTGACATCTAAAAGACAAATTTTTGAGAATTTTTAATATTCGAATTCTTCTGCCTAAAGTACGTATGTGGTTTTGTTTCAAAAGAAAAACATAAACCATGATTGGATAGGGCAATTCACAGTTAAAACTTCAATTCAAACGAATAAAAGTTGCGGTTTTCTGACTTTTGAGGTTTTGATTTATGGTAGTTATGAAGGCGAGACTTAGAACATTAGTATCTATGATAATTTTTGCTGTACTATTGAATATTTATCAATACTGAAATTTTCAAAAATGTTTCTTCGGTTGTTCATTAGAAACGCCGGAAATATGAGGGTACGTTAATTTATTCTACGGTTTCAATAAATCCTCACTCTACTATCGGGTCCAACCACTTTTTTAAGAAAAAACTCAATGTGAAAAGAATCAGAAGGTGCTGAGGGTTCGAAGTCAAAATATGTTTTCAAAATTTGTAAGAGTATATGACAATGGTGACGACGACGCAGGCGAGTTTTGCTCAATTTGTAGTTATTATTATGTGTAGTTATTTCGTCACCCGTCTGTTCGCATTCTAGATGCGGGAAACTAATGCACTCTTCTGACTATGTTGTACTTCCTCTATTATCAGGCTGGTTGGACTAATATATGATTGAACTAGGACGAGAAAATAAGTCATTAGCAAAATATAACTGTCAGCAAGGCGAATCAAAACCCTTTTATGAACATTGTTGTGTGGACGCTATTCATACTATACAATACCGACATTGTGTCGAAATCTTCAACCAGTAACGCGATACAACGTATTCAAAACTTCGTACAATACGGACCTCCTTTAGCCCTAGACAAAGTTCTGGGAAGGCTTTCTGCATGGTATTGACATAGAGTGTAATAGGTTCGGTTGCCTGAAAGTTATTCAGATGCACAATGATTTTTATCGATAATCATACGAAAGTTACAATTGGTTTATATGTACATGCTTTACAACTCAGTTCCCATTTTGTATTTCGACACATTGATACTAGTCTCCTCAGCATATTAAGGTACTAAACTATCACTTGTTCACCGGTATGTCATGTTTACTGTTAGGTATTCTATTAAAGCTATCAGAATATTTAGCCATCTGGCCTTAACATTCTTGCCTTTATTTGGTTATGAGATGGAAAATTTCGCTATTTGCGTTGTAACTGTAGAATCAAATGTTATCAAGCTTCATCCACTCCCATCCATATTTCGGCTTCTCATCGTAAAAATGTTGCTGAGAATTTCACATGAGATTCCTTTTGGACCAGGTATATTAAAGAGAGAATCTCAGCTGAAAAAGAACTGAACATATCCTGAAATTCTGGGTACAGACTCAGGCTCCTCGTGTCACCGATTTGTTGACTATTTGAAAGTTACACATGTCAGACCAGCTTCGAAGCGTGTTCAAGGTTCCATAGTAGAACCTAACGTAGCCGAACCTTTCTTGCTTACCTTATTGGCATTTTTGTACCAAATTTAGGTGACGTTGGTTAAGGATAGGTGTAAGTTGCAAAGCAGATCATTGTCATCGAGTATCAAGAATAAAACGAAAATCGGACTGTGGCACAGTATACAATTAAGTGTCCTCTGTATTTTACGGCCAAGTCGAGTTTCCTAACTTTTACTATCGTGAGAAAATTGAGGACATGTAAACTCTATGACACAAAATTTGATTTTTAGGAAAACGTAAAACGACTTTGAGAAGCGAGATTTAAGATATTTTAGTAGTAGAATGGGGTAGAAAGGAAACCTGAGTAAGGATATCCTATAATATTGACGACAACAGACCTGATGGGCGCATCTTTATTTCCTACATAGTATGCTGTGATCTATTTTTAAAAACTGCACTCCGTCTCGCTTGCAGCCAGCAGACGTTATGCATATAGTGCGGATGCAGTTCATTGGAATCTATGCCACTGAATTTGTATGATGAATTAATAGCTTTTACGGGTAAAAAGTGAGCAGAAAGTATCTTTCAGTATTAATAAATCGACAACCTCACTCAAAGTTTTTTAGGATCTTTTTTTTCCTGTATCAAACGATACTTCTTTTCTTAAAGCTATTAGCCTTCGGATCGACACATAGTTAAATAGTTTATAATCCACACATTCGAATTCATTGTGGCTGATTGGTTTTCCAGAATCTTTTCCGCAAAAACTAACATGATCCGTTCTGTCGGAAGTATCACTTGTTATAACTTCTCGATCTTCTTCGGAAGTTTAAAGTGAAAACATAATGAGCAAAGCAAAGACTTCCTCTGAGTTTTTCTCTAAACTGTTCTTTTTTCAGCAAGATGTTAGCGTAACCAAGATTTCTGCACTATTTGAAATTTTGAAACGCAAAGGGCCGTTCTAAACTGAAGCTCAAGGTCAATACTGAAACCGTACAGAGTCCGAGTCTCTGTTTCCAACTCGGTCATAAAAGAAACAAATAGTTCCCCGCGTAAGACGTTCATCTTCTTTTTCAAGATCTTCTTCCAGAAAGATTTTTACTATAAAATCAGTGCTGTTACATTCTTGTTGTTGTACAGGAGAGAGTTAACATCAAAAATAGGAACTAGAAAGACTCTAAACACTGAAGTTTATCGAAAACACAATTTCAAAACTCGTCATAAAATAGACAAACTATAGTGCATTCGATAGCGGAGAACTCGCTCTAATAAATGGAAGATTATTAATGAAAAATATTTGACAGACCTCGACTTTTAAGGTGAGAGAATCGTAAAAGTATGCGTTTGAAAAACAAACGAAAAACTGCTGCATACTAACAATCCAGCTGACTCCGACTCCAAAAAATTCAGAAAAGCGCACAACTGAATGTTTTCGTGATAAAGCTTTTTTTTCGATAACTTATTTACCTGATTGGTCATAGTAAGTCCGTCCGTCGTTTATTAGGTCTAATAACTCACCAACAACCGTTAAACCACTAGTAGAATATTGAGCAGCGGAGATAATGAAATAAACGGCAACTGATTTTATCTGCAATTCGATTCAAAAGTGGCTTCATATTTAAAATTCTTTGCCATTATCATGCAATAAAAGATATCGTTCTAAGTTTTTTCACCGTCTTGGAGTATACAGTATACCACCTTGTTGTAAACAAAATAAGTCGATTCAAGAATCTGACTGTCCAAGATAGTACATGAATTTGATTTAGAGAACACATGCAGATTACTTTCTATCTGGTCTCTATTGTCAAAATATCTCTGTAAATACCGTGCAATGTATATGAGTTAGCAGTTAGTTGTAAAATAAGAGAAAATGTAAAGAGTAGTTTTAGGACATCGATAATTGTCGGTGATAGAGGGAAAGGGAAAGAGACACGAAAGTAAGTTTTGTTTATATGTAGAACAAGATAGCATAGTCCATGCTTCAGGATGATAAAAAAAATCAAAACGATATCTTTCTCTGTAAAAGAGTAATAAATGATCCAAAATAGGGTGTTACTTTTCAATCGTCTTGTAGATTGACAAAATCAATCAAACCTCAATTATACGACTCGAAATATTTCTAGAGGAGTAAAAAAACTTTAAAGAGTTAGGAACTCATAAAATGATCTTAATTCAACAATCGTTTTAGCCTTGGACCATAGTCATAGCTCACAACTATAGTTATAACTTCCCAACGCCGTTGCGGTAGCCTATTATACTACAAATAAAAAAGGTATAATAACGAATCCGCCGAAAAGGCTTTACCAGCTCGACCAAGCGTTACAGAATTGATTTTTTTAACTTGTATGATCCAAACATCCTCAATAACAAGAGTTTTGCTTCGGAAAAGTTTTTGGGAATATATGAATTTTAAACCATTCTGAAGTCATTTTAAAAACACCATTCATCACAAAATTTCTTAAAATGGACAAAGTTTTTTGAAACAACTCTCATTTTAGCATTTTCATACAAAGCTTAAAGACTTATCGATAAACGTTCTACACAAAATTTGTTCAGTTTTTCATGCAATTTTAGAGTACTATGTCGTTTTCCCTATATAATTATTCCTTCGGATGAAGTAACTCAAAAGATTGAGCGTTACAGAATGTCACCAATCTTGCCATTTTGCACAGAGTACTGCTTAGGGACATTTTTATGATAATTTTTACTACGATTCCTCATTTCTATTATCCTGTAACAATAAAAACTAGTGTTTTCTATCAGATGAATAGTGCCTTTCAGTTTTCTTTTCATAATTTCATTAAAATTCTTATCGTTATTTTAACCAAAACGAAAATTGAAAAAGTGAAACAACTCCGAAATTTCATGATCATTTGACTTTGCCAACTCATTGGAAAAAATACGATCTTGGTTTTCTATGTTAGCTATGTAACTCGAAATGGCGAATAAATTGATGTATATTTTAAAATCGTATTCTCTGTAACAAATTCGTTTTCTTTATCTTACTGATTCTAAATCTTCCCCAACAAAGGAGACTGATGTCTGGCCGTGCCGTTATACGTAGTTAATAGCTTCTAAAAGCGTCCTGAAAAACGTGCTTTTCCGAAACCTATGGGAGTCCAAACGAATATGGCTGTGCTCGCATATTGCAAATCGCTGACGAAGAAAACTTTAAACTTTGTTCAGCGTAAAAGATAATTTCCTCAAGATAAAAAAAAGTTTTGAAGCTTCCGTGTGTTGCCACTGCGCTGTGATCTGAGCGTTTGCATTTTCTGGCGAAACCATTTTGTAGCTACTGACTGGTCTACACGTGGGCCACTCACGTTTTTGGCATCTTTCAATTTGAGTTTCGCTCCAATGATGAGGTATGAAACCTGGATAATTCGTGCATAAATATGTCTTGAAAAACTCAACAATTCTTATCAATTTGATTTTCTCGATTCAGTTCTTTTTCGGTCGGCCACTAGAAAACAATAAGAAAGAAACGTTGACGCTGCCTATATCTTATCTTTTGTGCATGGATGTTATCACATATCATCCACAAGCTTAAATGACTAGCAGCGGGCTTCATGTCATCAAACGATAATGTGGTTACATTGTGCGATTTGAGCGTATATAATTAATTTATGCTATGTATAATAGACTATGTAGTAAGAGAAAAAAAACAATGCATTAGTTACTCCTATATGAAATGCTTCGCCGAATCATAAAGGGTTCATTTAGATTCAGCAGCTTTTTCAGTTCGTTTTAGAAGAAGTCATTCCACTTGCCAACAGTAGACTCTTTCTCGCTTGCAAAGACTTCCATTTGTGCTAAAATGCGTATAGTTCTCTATCAGGCGACTCAAGAAACTGCATCTCGCCATTTGAAGCTCAAACCCAAAACTTATCCACAGATGACATACTTAGAATCTTTACTTTTCGGCAATTATTTATAGCTCATAGAGAACTGCTCGAAGTGGTCCACTACTTTTGAGTTCATACCTGAGATATAAGATCAGCGCCGCCACATTCGATTGATCTTAAGAGGAGTTGGGCCCATACACCTATAGCACCGAGTTATGTTCATTTTGGTGCACTTCTATTTTATAACGCTAGTTTATCTGTGCAACGAAATAAACGAGTTTCGATATGAAACTTTGCCCGCGAAGAGGCCTAATGTCTACCAGAATACCTTCATAGTTTCACAGAAAATGAATTTATCCTTCTTCAGATATTAAACTTTGAAAGCCCGGCACTTTCTAAAAAAACGAAAAAACCAAGCGAGGATTTACTACGAGGTCAATATCTGAAGAAGGATACATTCATTTTCTGTGAAACTATGAAGGTATTTTGGTAGACATTAGGCCTCTTCGCAGGCAAAGCTTCATATCAAAACTGGTTTATTTCGTTGCACAGATAAACTAGCATTATAAAACAGAAGTGCACCAAAATGAATATAACTCGGTGCTATAGGCGTGTGGGCCCAACTCCTCTTGAGATTAACCGAGTGTGGCGGTCCTGATCTTATATCTCAAGTACGAGCTCGAAATTGGTGGATCACTTCGGTCGATCCTTTCATCGGAGACCGTGAGTGCTGAGAAGCTGAAACTGACTGCTTCACAAGATGCCTGCACGACCTACAGTGTGGATAAGACAAATCACATGTTACGACCCTATATGGGGATCGAATCATAGTTCATTTACAGACACGAGTAGCAGTATCCAGGTGACACTGATAATCCATACAGGCGTTAATACAGTGACGTGATATGCTCAGTGTCTAATTTACTCTATATGAATCGTCAAATATGTGTATAAGTCGTTTACTCTCGAAATAAGCAGAATTTTCATTCCATTGATTCGTTGCGTTAACGGTATGTTACTAAACTTATCGAAATCTGCTAAGCCTAATAAGGATATATTTGCGGATGCGCGTTTCGAACCACCATGTACAAAACATTTTCAAGTTTCGTACTTTAGTTTGCTACGAAAACATGAAGACTTTGCAGATGATACGTCGAAGCGTGTACTCTCGAGCAGATCATCTTTGCAATTCGCATATTTTTAAAATCATTTTTGCAACAGTTTTCGGTTCATAGTTCTTCGAATGCTTTATACACGAGAGACTTTGATCGAGAAGATCCCAAGTCTAGATCTGTCCTCTCGCAGGGAACGTCTATAATGCCAAACAGCGAAATTACTCATGAGGTCAAATTTAAAAAAGTTGTTTTCACGAATGGTGGATTCATAGATTTGGGATCCTCACTCGTCAGCCGTCTCTAACAGCTATGATAACTACGCTACGTCTTTAGAACCAGACAAACGTGAGCACGCGTTTAAAGTCGCTAAGAATCTTCAGGGAGTGCATACGCGAAGTTTAGCTACTCGACATTCTGTTAAACCAGCCTCATCAGCTGTTTTCAAATACTTTTCTAAGTTCGAATGACCTTTTATAGAATGCTTATGCCATAGCTAGGTCTTAATAGCAGCGGTGGCCCAGTTTTATAATTCTACAATTATCACCAAAATTCCGAATTATCAATTTCAAATATAAGATTTTACCTATAATATTCGTGCAAAGAAGAACTTGAGCCGTCAAACTATCAGAACTGAAGTATTATATGTGAATTATCTTTATGATATTAACTATCAACAATTGACTAGAGATTATGCCAAAGAAATATCTCGAAAGTGTAAGTTCAAAGAAAATACCGCATCAAAAAGTGTAGAATAAGTCCACTTGGGGCCCGCAACACAGATGAATGGTTTAGTACTGAACTTTGCGAAAAGATACACCGATGAAAAACTCGACCATACATTCTTTATGGTTTTCATCATAGCCGTGAGCATCTTAAACTATTCAAAACACCATTTCTTAATTAACCTATTGTAGTCTTTTATAATCGGTGTGCGCAGGACAGGCTACTTTCCATGAACACTGCGCCTTCCACCAGTCTTTGTGGTCGCAAAATTTACGAAAACTACCATGCCTTTCAAACTTATGAAAATTCCGATCATTCTAACAGCTCCAGTTCTTTTTTTGAGCAAAGATTATACGTGGAAAAAATATTCAAAATTGGTAAATCGGAATTTTGGCCATAATTCTAGAATTATAGAACTGGGCCACGTCTCATGTATTAAAAGCGTTGTTTTCGTACGATCGGAAGTTTATGATTTAAAAATTCTTTCATTCTGACGGCAAAACATGCAAGTAGAAGATAAATTATGTAATGTAAGCTGTAAAGCTTTTTACACGGTATTTTTATATAGTTTGCTTTTAACCCATCGGATTAATGGAGCGAAATATTTGGTTTCCAGCACGCGCTAACTGAGATTCAGATGAAAACGGCTCTTATCGAAGTGTAGTCGTTTTGTGATCATCCGAATAATGATCGAATAGCATAGAAAAATACAATCTCGATTTTTCGAACATGTCGTAAAAATAGTAGTTTTGGCAAAGCCTTAAATGAGAGGATAAGATATCTTGCGAAGTTTATTTTGAATACATCTAAGCGAAAGTGTAAACAACTTAAAGATGATGGCAGATAAGATGTAACCTTCTCTCAAGATCATGGCCCCGATAAAAAAGGGGTTCTGATTCAATTCCAAACAATCATAGCAAGATGATTCAGATATATTGACGTTTTCAGTATATATTTTTCATAATGCTGCAAGATCCTTCGACAATTCGTTAAAAATAAATAGAAAAACAGAACGCCTAAACAAGGGACTATAGGATTTTTCTAACATTATTTATTTCTCTCAAGAATCTACAAATTGCAAAATAAAACATGGTTCCATAGTAATCATGCAAAGCCATTTTGTGTAGAAAACAGCATTTCATAATATATTCCGTGCTTTTGTATTAGCTCGGTGTGGGTGCCACTTTCGACAATGCGGCCTTGATCAATTACATGAATTGAGTCGTATGAATGAATAGTAGACAAACGGTGTGCAATTGTTATCAGTGTTCGACTAGGATCATCCTCCTGCGTTTGGTTAATTGCTTGTTGAATGATCTTAAATGACAAAATCATCATCAATATTAAATACATATTAATCGAATTCGCCAATCAGAGAGAATACTCACTTGTTCGTTATGTGGATCCAAAGCACTTGTTATTTCATCCAATAATAAAATCTTAGGTTGACGAAGGAATACTCGTGCAAGAGCAATACGTTGCTTTTCACCACCAGACATGAAAGTACCTTTAACACCAACTTTTGTCTGGTATCCCTACATATATCAACATTTAAGATATTATTAGGCAATGGTGCATGACGTTTGAGAGATTTTAAGGAACATCTCATCAGAGAGACTATCAAAAAGATGTATATGGCTTATGAACTTGCTTCTCATTGCTTAGAGCTGCACGTTTTATACGTCGACTGAAAGATGTGCTCCATTGATCTTTTATACATATATTCATAGCATCAGCTTTCAGAAGGAATCTAACAGAAATAATACAGTTGTCCGACAAGAAATGATCTATAAAATACAGCTTAGGTCATTGGAATAGAACTGCAAAGCCAGCTCGTTTTCTTTGAAAGAATTCATCTGAACCCAGCCACAATCTTCGACTCGTTTGATTCTACTCTTCATCCTTGATTATCGACTCACTCACATTTATCCTGGAGAATCTTGTTTCTCTCGCTGTGTTTTTTTATCAACCGGTGAAATATAGACATATCAGAGGCAAGCAAAGAGACGTTTTATGCCACCAAGGCTCTTTTGTAAGTGAAAGAAAAATATTGGTTTCACAGGATTGTGCCTAAACTGTGTCTTCTATTCTCCTAAAAAGCTTATAAACCTGTGGCAATTGTCGAATCAATTGATCGATATTGGCTTTGATTGCAGCATTGACAATCGCTTCCTCGGGAACATTCTCTAATCCATATGCAATATTCTCTGCGATGGTCAAGTCGAATAAAGACGGTTCTTGACTCACAAGACCAAGTTGCGATCGAAGCCACTGTATATTCAGTTCTTGTATATCCACTCCATTAATAAACTAAATGTAAATAAAATGCGATTAGTTTCCATAATAGTATTCTCCATACTTACTAACTGTCCCTCTGTAACGTCATAAAAACGTTGTAATAACTGGATAATAGTTGACTTTCCACAACCAGATGCTCCTAGATATTTTATGCTTTGCGGTTGTAAACATATAAAACATTTTTGTCTTACCGACAAGAGCCACACGTTGACCTAACTCAGGATGAAATAAAAAAAACTAATTGAGTAAATATTTCACAGCACGAAAAAAGACAATCCTTTAGACTCAGCTCACCTCGATCTATGAGAGTACTATAAGAATGATTTCATGACTGGTCAGCCACAGAAAATACAAAATCTAGGAATCTATAGTAAATTATGGTGAATATTGTAGAATATTTTAATGTGATATTTCGATAAGAGTCTTTTTGACATCTATCTTATGACTCAGTCAAAATACTGTCCCACTAATTATAAAACTCTACAGAAATCGAAACTTTCATCTTTCAGTGTTTTGACTCTAAAATCGCCAAAAATTGAGCAAATTTTAGCTTTCTTGTCACAAAATTATCAGTTTAAAAGATGTAGAATTAGACTATCGAAAAAATTATGGTTTACCATCTTCCTCTTTTGTTGTTAAATCCAAAAAGATAAACATAAGTGTGAAAAGTCTCTACACTTCAGATGGACGTGATATTGCAGACTTCGTTAAGCGAACTTTTCTCTGCAGAATCCTAGACTTAGTGTCTTATTTAAACTCGACCAACTCGAGAGTAATTTGACAGAATATTATACACTACGTTGAACATAAAAGCAGATAGTTACCAACATATAAGCACGATCGCGCTTCATCAGTATTATTTGGACACAATAGCGAATATTCATTCGAATGACTAAGATGAAGCTGCTTATTTTTTAAGCACTTTTGGATGTGGACTACAGTAATTATCATGTGACTTTTACAAGTTAAATAGCAAGAACGAGGTAAACGTAGTGCTACACATCTACTTCCTGACTTAATTTGGACGACCAGAAATGTTCTAGATGGGGACCAACCACCAATAATACTCATCGATTACTCTATTTATCAATCTATTGGTCATTCCATTTGTTGTTTTCATGTAAAGAAGTTTATTGGTTAAATCTAATGTTTACATAAACTATAAACCTGCTTTATCAGAATAAGATGCAGTGCCATCATCCTACTCCTACCAGTTTAACTCAATCGGGTGCACGACCGTCTCATCCTGTAGTCCGACAAACTATCAACCAACACAAAGCAAATTATTTAATATGCAAACTATGCCAAATTCGGAATAGAGCCATATACACTCAACCTCGGCAACCGACTTGAAAGAATTTCAGAGCTGCTCAAATCGTTCACTTTCAACAAACTGAATCTTTGAACACCTCAGTTCAGGTGCATTGAACCGTTTCATTAGCTTTTTTCGAATGAATTCTTTATCTAGAAGATACGTATGAGTTCCTAAGTTTCCGTTTCATTAATTCCATCTTCGCATAAGCTGATTGGTGATTTTTCTACTATATAGTGGTGGACGCAGTTTTTATCCTAAACAACATCTTCACTTTCGAACCTTCTTCAATATGATTAGCTGTACGTTTTTAACAACAAACTTGAAGAGGGAGTCGTATCGGTGTAATACGACTTCATGGCATTAAATAGTTTGTTCAGAAGAATTAACGTAACGACTTAACTCACGTGAACTGAACTGAGCTTTGTAGACCTCTAAATCATTCTGTAACTTATATAACACGGAATTTTTCATTACGCTTCGTTTCGGATCATGTAGTGTTTGCTATTGTACTTACCCGGCTTGATATTCCATTGAAACTTGTTAAGAACAATAGTTGTTGGTCGAGTTGGATATGCAAACTTCACTTTATCAAAGTCAATTTTTCCACAAAAATTACTCTAAATCCATCAATTAACATGTCTGATAAATTAGGCATTCTTTTACTTGTTCTTGGCCTTGCCGAGAGGCATTGTCAATATTTGGAATTCGGTCAAATAAGTCGAAAAAGGTATATGCAGCAGAGATCGACGCACCAATACGAGTTGATCTATCATTATACCAACAGAAATGAACGCGAAAATAATGTCTTTCTTTACTTACAGCATGCCAAAAATTTTACTTATTTGTAACGTAAATGTTACAAAGGCAAAAACCCTAGAGAAATCCAATAATGAAAAAATTGAATTAATTATAAAAGTGGCAAAACGCCCACAAAAAATACTGTTGAGAGTGTAAAACCTAGATTTAGTGTAGTGAGGCTGTAATACGAATCTTATCTTTGTTGCCATCTGCATCCTCACTCGCACCTCTTTTACTGCCAAAATTTTTCTGTCGATACTTTTGCCACTAAATCAGTTAGTTAAGTTGAGTGGTCAATCTCATTACGTGATAATATCGTCCAGAGCTATCTGGTTGTTTTCTACAAGTACAACAGTGCGCCAATAGAGAATAGCTATTGTGAACGAATCTAATGCCCAAGATACACCGACTGTCATAGCATTGACAAAGCTTGATTTCAGCGACGCTCTACATCAAAGTCACAGATTCAGTTAAAGTCAACTTCAGAAAAAAAGAAAATATATCTATTTTCTCGAAACTTACTTGAATATTTGTTGAATTAGCTCAGTATACTGTCGTAAAGCCTCATTTTCAGCTGATAATAGCTTAATGGTACGCATGTTATGAATGAATTCCACAGCAACCTGTAGTCGAAAAGATATGTACTAAAGCTCTCAATGATAAAGTGCACTGTAAAAAAAATTATTTATTACCAAATTCATTGAAAAGGTTTTGTAAATGTTCAATAGCTTCCAAATGCGTCAAAGACCAGACCAAAATAGTTTTCAAAATCTGCGAAGCCTTTTCAATGGGTTTAGTAGTAAATCATTTTTTTACAGTGTGATTCTTAGGGAAAATACGTACTGAATTAGCTCGATTGTAGTATATATCCGTTTTTGCTCTGAGCAATCGATTGGCCTGTATTGTCACGTACATCATAATACTCAGAATGAAAATCGGTACAAACAGTACGATTGTCAAACGCCAGCTGAGAATGAAGCCAAATAATATGCCACAACAGACTAAAGACAAAGATTCGCAAACAGCACCTAACCGAGTGCCCGTCATATCTTGTAGAGCAGTAGCATTGGAAGCTAAACGTGCACATATAGATCCTGAACTATTCTCTACTTCGTCGAAATAAGCTATTTCTTGACGAAGAAGACATGCAAATGCTTTTGAACGAATGCGTTGAACTAATTTTGATCCCACGATAGCAAATGCGGTATACTAAATAGAAAAAAGCAATCAAAACATCGGCCATCGATATCTTCAGTTGCGTCGTTGACGATTATGAAGCTTACTTGGAACAGGAATATAAACGTGCTTATCACACCCAAAAGTATAAAGAGTAAACTTGCTACGGATACCCGATAGCGAATATCTGTGCTTCCGCAATTTTTAAATGCCTATTTAGAAAAATGGACACGAATGTTGTTGTTGTCCTTGAAAACCCATTTTTGAAACTGTACGTCTTACATTGATTATATTAGTTAACATCAGCGCAAACATTGGTTGAGTTAATCCGATCAATATGCACGCGATGCAACCGACTAAGATAGTGACCCATTCAGAAGCATTCATTGCTAGAAGTCTTAGAAAGATAGACTTTCGATTCGATAATGTTAAATCTTTCCGCTAAAAGAGACAATTAGTTATAAAGCTAATTAAATTGATAATTATCACGATAATAATGAAAGGTTCCAAAGCTCAACAGAACTACAGACAAAAATCTGATAGGCAAGGATTAGCTTCTTTCAAAAGAACTTTGATAGATCGTATGATATGAACCAATGTGAAGCTGTTCTAAGAATATCGTTTTGTATGGTGATATTTACTTGATTTCTGTAAACAAATTGACCTTCACTTAGTGCGCCAGATTCGAATACTATAAAATAGATTTGTTCAAAAGAAAACTCGAGCCATTTTTAATCACTGTTTTATATACCTATTTGTTTTTCTTTTTCAGCTATGATTGTTTCTGTGTTTAACAAGTCATCTCGTTCTTCCTCATTTCGTTTTATTGTTTGTTGCGTTCTGACCATTGATTGATATCTTCCATCTTGCTTGGTCATTAGTGTCTTATGTGTTCCTTCTTCTATAACTCTCCCTTCATCGAATACATAAATATAGTCAGCATTTTGAATAGTGGTTAAACGATGAGCAATGACTATTGTGGTACGATCTGAAGATAAGATTACTTCAATCAGATAGTCAACAAAAAATTTATAAAGTTCACTTTTCGACGCTCGATCTAGTGCTTCTTGGACGATTTTTTCATTGATATTATCGAGAGCACTCGTTGCTTCGTCTAATAGCAACACTTTGGGTTGTTTGACCAAAGCACGAGCTAAAACAATACGTTGTTTTTCACCTCCACTCAACTGCACACCACTTTCACCGATTGAAGTTTCATATTTCTAAATATTGGAAATTAGTTAACATATATTAACGTGTGTCAATTAAAGATCAATACTGTGTACACACATCAGGTAATTTCATTATAAATTTGTGTGCGTTAGCTTCTCTTGCTGCTGCTTCGATTTCGTCACGTGTTGCATTACGTTTACCAAGACGAATATTGTCATATATGCTCATGCTAAACACAATCTAATGTGACATAGTATTGAAAATAAAAAATTGTTCCAAAAAGTAGGGCACGAAACATACAGCTTCTTGACTAACAACACCAATATTTTGTCGAAACTGTTTAATACCGTACTCTGTAAGTGATCGGCTACCAATATTTATTCGGCCAGACGAAGGTTCATAGTAACCAAGTAGAAGGGAGATGCATGTGCTTTTTCCTACAGAAAAATAATTTCGTTTTAGTAGTATATTTACTCAATTATCTAGAACGTTACCACAACCACTCGGACCAACGAGAGCAGTCTTTCGATTAGCGCGAAATATCACATTAAGATTATTCAAAACCATTATTTCTTTTCGCGATGGATACATAAAATTAACATGATCAAATTCGATGTCGTCAATGAAATCAAGTGTTGTATCACCAGTAAACTGATTCTCATTTAATAAATCATGCTCGATGACAGTCGCATCCTGTCCCTATATAATGAAGCCACATCCTCATCAGACTAGTGAGTTTTTTCTACTGCATAAATTACCTTTTCTATTAGGTTAAATACAGACACTGCTGCTTCGCGACCTTCCGAAAATGATTGAAAGCAGGGACCAATGTACCCTAAGAGCTGTATACACTCTGCAAACAACATAACAATCTACAACATAGACAACTCAGCTGATTTGCTAGCGTGCTTTTGTTTGTCGCACAAAAGCGATAGCTTACAACGAGGATGTGATCAATAGTTGTGACATGACCAGTTGTGGATGTCATAAGAACCGAACCAATAATGAAACCAGATACGTAAACCAAATGATAGATTAAAGAAAACCAACCTACATAAGTACCATATACAACACCTTTGCGGACAGTGGTCCAATAAGCTGGATCAAGTTCTCTCTCATATCTAAATTCAGCCAACATAATAGTCCATTGTGACATCATATGTTACAATCCCAAAAATGCTTAATACATGTATTAGAGCCGATATTGACGTGATTCCTCTCTTTTTTTGTCACACACCTTCATGCCCTCTAGTACGTGTAAAGATTGACTCAGACGCTCTAAGTCGATTTGTAGAATGAGTTTTATCATCGTCAAAGAATATGTATAAAGCCTTCTCTCTCTTTCCCTTCTGAAAGGATCAGATAGACGATGCTTTACAAAGCAGACTATGATTGATCTAACCTAACTTATGGGATAAGAAAGTTATAAGCCTACTAACATGCGTTGAAAAAAGAACAAAAATCAACCTTGAAAGCATACTCAATAATTTTGCTTTAATTTACGTCTGTTGAAGATATTTAGAATCATTTGCACGGTCATATCTAAACTTGAACGTCAAAGCTTGAATGAAGAAAGCTAATCCAATTGTGCAGGACACCAAAAATAAAGAACTTAGTACTTTTAGTATCGTTTCCGATGGTTGTCGCTTAAAAGCGTGGCACCGATGAAAACTTAGTTGGATCTTTTACGTCCAGCCGCCTTTTTTCATGATCTATAAAAATTCTTTCAAGGAAAAATTATGCGGTCAAGAGCCAGTTTAAAAAAGTCAGCAACCTATTTTTCTACGTTGCCTCTAACAAGAAACGACAGAGGAGCACGACCATTTTCACTGCAACCTAAACAAACCTAACCCAGCAGTTCTTTTATTTCATGAAATTACTTGATTTCTACCGAAAGCACTAACACACAGACTAAGCTCACAGTTATCCTTTTCTTTGGCAACGCATACGAACAACCTTATAATTTCCTACTACATAAGTTATGCAGAGTCAGGCACAGGTTATTTTTATAGTACCTTGTCTATTTAATTTCTTCAACAGAGAGGAAAGAAATAGTTTTATACATACTCTTTGGTGATAAAAACAATCTATTATCCATCTTTCATACGTATGCTTCATTACCTTTTTTGCTCAAATTGCCCACCATTGAGTGAATGAACAGTTCGTAGTGAACTAAACACTTCTTGGACGATTCGTCCTGCTCTACTGTATGTTGTTAGTTCATTATGTGTTTCATAGGCGATGCGCTAAAATACTAGGCCTATTAGAATTTGTTTCGCTAAATAAAAATCTTATTACTCGCGAGAAGATCATCGAAGAGCCAACAGCGATAGGTAAAAGCCATGAAAGAACTAATGATAACGCCCAGTTAGTGATGAAAGAGAAGAGGAAACCATTAATAATACACATTATGATACAAAAAAGTAATAAGAATTCAATACCAATGCCCAACTCGATTTTTGGTAGATTACTATCCCATCAATTGAATGATAGTCGACATTTATCTGACTAAAAGATCATTATTACTTACTCAGATAGTTTGCTGGTCAGTTCACTTGGTGAATGGGCATCCATGTACGTCATATTCTAAATAATGACAACGGATTAAGATAATAACAGTTGAATTTTTAAGATGAATATTGTTTTCAGACGATATATAATGCAACTAATCGAAGCATAGCAAATATCAAATCATGATTACCGTTGAGACTACTTCATCTTGAGTTTCTAGATCTATTAGTATTCAAAATAATTTAGTTTCCGCCGATTAAAAAATTCGAAATTATCTTAATAACAACGAATACTCAGTTTCGATCTTGAGATCTATTGAAGATGTCCGAAGCTGTTGGAACGCAAAATTAGTTCTTTGAGATAGCTTGCACTACCATACATTGTCGTTCCACTTAACGACATGAGGCCCGCTTAGTTTCAAAGTAACCTTATTAGTTCCAATTTCTTGTCTATCATATCTATTATTACATTGAACTTACTTAATTGTAACATGATTACGAAAATATGCAGGTATGTGAAGAGAGATATACTCCTCCAGAAAGTAACTATGTTCGCCAAAAATTAAGAAACTCCGGTGCGACAAGTTTAACATGTATGATGTTAAGAAAGTCTACACACCGTCGAGTAGTAGTTTTTATCATACGTTTTTCATTTAAAGTGGCCTGCATAAGAAATTTCTGAGGCTTAATAGATAATAAAAGAAACTTAGTATTCCACTATGCATAGGATCAATCACGCAAAAGAGCATATTGACCCCTCTCAGTTGGCTTAATTTTTGATCACAGTACATCGTCCGACCAAATTCTTTTACCATAAATATATGTAAAAATGTTTGCTCTTTTTGATGTGCTTCAATTAAAAGCAATTAATTAAGATGTAGTTAGCATATATGTTTCTAATTATGCGATAAAAAGTCTTGAAACGTTCAGGATGAACGCTACAACACGATCTGCATATACGGTAAAAGTTTCAGCAAAGTCGGAGATGTAACATCTCCTTCGAAAAAATACCCACCCTTCGACCCCCTCCCGAAGTGTTGAAGCAGAAGTTTTAACTTCGTTATATTTTTTAGTTATTGAAGAATGATTCATGTTTATATGAATTGATTTGAACTTTTTTCCTAGTCATAGGAGGATTTTTTCGTTCGACCATGCGTGCTTGGTCATGTGACTAACATTGAATAGTTGATTTTTCAGAACATCTATGTAAGCCTGGGAGAGTGTTGCACTTGCACAGGGGTCTTATAGCGCTGTAAGCGCTACACACCATGTACTATTTCGTTTTGAAAAGTATTGCTTTGGTCCACAGCTATTTTAACTTAAATTACATACAGTGCAAATCGCTGTCGTTTTTCGAGTCACCTTGTTATTCAAATGATTTTGTCTATAGAGCTAACGAAAAGCAATTCATTCGACTTACACGTGTTATAAGCGATCGAAACAGTGAAATATTCATACGCGAGGTCTGTCGTTTCGTTGTTATCGACCATACAAAAATTGCTAGTGAACTGCATAAAAATGAAGTGAATCCAATAACTACATAAATATCGACAGAAAAAAATTAATCACAATCATATCGTGAGTTTAGTTAAACAAGTTTCGTCCGTTGACTTACCCAACAACTTATGAACCGTATCCATAGTTTTTTGTCTAATAAGATGTAATACTGAAGTTTGCACTGTTGTTGTTGCCGAAAGCGTCGTCCCATTCTGGCAATCTAAACTGCAAACACAGCACAGAAAGCCTTGAGAAAAAGAAGTTTTCTCGAGTATGACCAACTTAAAAGATCGATCGCAGATTAATGGGATAGTGAGAATCGCGGAGGAACTATTGCTTTGATTAGTAGTGACGGCTATAAAACCTTCGTGTTCAGCTTGACAATGGATAATGAATGATTGTGTTGCAAAAAATCCAGTAATTTGACCAAAGAGAACAATATTGGCAATGATACAATAAACTTGTATTGTAGTAAGACAAATACTCAACAGCATCAAGATATAATCAAGTCCGTCTGCAAATTTGAACTAAAAGCAAATAAGATAAAATTGGTTAACCAGTGCGGTACAAAACATTTTAATTTTTTGTTGTTTCTCTCGTAAATATCTTATGTTTTGAAAACATTTACCAATTTGGAAAGGCCTACAGAATTTTTCTTATCAGTAGTGCCTGGTTCATAACTGTCATGTGTATTCTTCAATTTTTCATATTCTCGTCGATTCTTTTCACTACCAAAGTACCGACGCCAGTTGAACGAGCTAGGAAGAAAATAATGATAATAATAATCAAGTTAGTAAAACTTTTGATCAATAGATCATACTTATTCGGAGAATTCTGTTCATTACTTTTACTCTCATCACCAGCACGACCAGTAATTCTTGATTTGTCCAAAAGTGGTTGTTCATCGGCCATTTCAAATTTATTATACTAAAAAATACAAACTACTGGCCTCAATCATTCGGTAAGAAAAACTTGTATTGGTTTCGTGAAAAAAGTGTAACTTTTATCTTGTCTACAGGTGCTCTGATGAAAGTGTCCCTGGTCTGAAAACGAATGTTTCGCGAGACAGATCTCTAGAAACCAGAGTGCAAGCTTTTGTGACTATATGGCAGTTCGCCCTTTCTTTAGCGCTGAATTTTCTGCTGATAAGTGTAAAGATGCGGTCGATTCGAACGCTCGAAGTTTTTCCTCACCACTCATCAACTCTATCCATAACGCTCAAAATAGTAAACCTGAGCCGTTAGACATAGCCTAAATCCGACGCCATTCTGTTGCAGATTCGAACAGTCTTTTTAAAACTGTTTCGCAAAAAAGACGAGGGATCCGCATTAAGATGCATTTTTCTTCAAACCAACTTGTTGAAACTCCTTTCCCAAAGACTGTTCACTAAGGTTTATAAGGGGAATATCATAATGGTTGGGGCCGCCGATTCTCTTTCTGCAGCGGTGCAGACATAGGCTTCAATAAAATATCAGAAAAAGCTATATAAAGATTGAAGTGTTTTTCGTGAGCCTATGTAGGAGTCTTGTGCAGAGCGCCGTGTATCGCTGTTTTTCGTTATTTGCAAGGGAGCCTTAGTGATTTCCTCACTAAAGTTAAAAAATCTATCGATACTTAAAGAAAGGTCGCTGTCCATCGACAAATATTAAAGAACAAATATATACATTATCCTGCATCAGATGTGCATATAGAATCGCGAAGCAAAACCTCAACTTCTATAATTACTTTCTCTAGTACGGCAAACATTCAGAACATACGACTGCGGAGAAATAAGAATAATTATTTTATCAGAACTGACTATGATAGGGGAGAAAAAATTCTGATTGTAATAATTCATGAAAGAACAGGGATGCACGAGGTCTAAGGCTCGACACAGGTCTAAAAAACTTGGACGACCCAGAAACCAATGAAAATTTCTATAAAAGTATTTGAGCAGGTAAATACACTTTTTGAGTAGAGGCATTTAGCGGTGTGATGGTAACGATGATCCTGCCAATAGAGTCTGGCAGGATCGGGTTTTTTCATTTCGATCCCAACCGCTTCGCACTTCACATAAACTCGTCCTGATCACGCTTCCGGCAATATATTTTTCGGGATTTTCAACGCTGCTGTCATTTCCTGTAAACACGACTCACCCGGACTTAAAATCCATTAAAATATGTCCTCGGAATTTGTAGTCCGCATCCCGTTTTTGACAAGGATGCTCGTCGAAATCGCTACAGTCCCACCGGACTCTACCTATCAAATGCATTCTATTTTGTTTTTACGCCGTTCTTTGTTTTGTCCTTGTATGATATTTCGATTGTTATTTGCTCTTGTGATCCTGTTACCACTGACTAATCTGACTGGATAAATTATATCTCTCATTTGTCGAAAAAGTGTAATATAACGGGTGCGCCAGGTAGAATGAGACTCTCCGTATTTTAGCGATATTACCTTCAATTTTCATCCCTTAAGGCGGATTTTTTAAAAAAATCGTCTTTTCTAGTTACACAAAAATATGTTATTTTTATTAACGTAAATAATTTCCAACAGTTTGAGAAAGGCGATACAATCGATCAGTCCAAAAATTGCAACTTTCAAAGACAACTGATTCGCGAACTTTTTTTTACTGAGGACTTCAGTTCTTGAATCAGTGTTGCTTTTGATTGGACTTTGCTCCAGTCCATAACATTGGCCAGTTCGTGCCAACTTCAATAGTCTAGTGGATTTAAATCCGGACTATTAGCCGACCAACGATCTTTGTTAATAAATGATGTTGGTACGGCATGGCGCCATCCTGCTGAAAGGTCCAGTTATCACCAAAACTTTATTTCCGAACTTTAGGGCTACAGAAAGTTTTTTTAATTTAAGACTCATGCTCAACAATTCCTTTCTCAAAGATTACCAAAGGTGTAATACCTTTGGAACAGGCAGCTAACCACACCATTACTTTTTGTGAGAACTTTCGTTTTCGCTTGATGCCACCTTTGGTGTCGGCATCAGCACGATTTAGCTTTTCAGAAGTTTGTTCGAACCCAGTTTGCAAACTGTTTCCGTTTGATCCTTTGGTCATCGGAAACTGATGGTTCAATCACTTTTTTTATAGGGCTTCAGTCTTAAATCGATTTTTAATATTCGCCCAATACTGGTTGCAGAAATTCCAAGATCTCGGGATAATACCCGGGATGATATTCTTTTTTTTAGTTTGGCCTAAACAGCTTTTGACCTTTCGAATATTTTTAGTCCTAATAATACACGGACCACATCGACAGATCATTTGGCACCACCGTTTAATTGTCGTTAACTCAATACCACCATTTAAATCACGATGCATTTCTGTTGGAGTATCACCATTTCAGTACTTTGAAAGTACGATATTTTGCAGATCGTTACTTTTCATTTTTCGAAAACCTTTTTCAATCAGAAAAAGATTTAAAAAATTATTGCTAAAATACTGAGAGGCTCATTTCACCTGGCGCACCCGTTACTCAGTGAAAATCATATTTGCACGCATGGTGATTACTCAAGAAACGAAATCGTAGTAAATATGAAAGCTTTCCGAGTTAAAACGCTCTTCTTCGCTGTTTGCTCAATTGAGTAATTGTACTGCTGATCGATTTCAAAAGTTCGACCGCTTTGTGAAGTATGAAAAATTTTGTGGGAAATGCAATTAGTAGAAACTGATGTGAAAATCATGAAAGAAAATATAACACGTTGAGTCCAACCGGATCAGCCAATTAACTTTTATTATAACGCCTCTCCCGACCTAAACCCATCATTTAATCAAACTGCACAGAGGTTGTCTTTGACCAGAGTGAAAGAACTGAGATGACTACTTGATTAGCACTATTCAAGGAGACAATCAAGTGAAAACAAAACTATATAGCTCGTAAAGGCCGTATATTTTGTAGGATCTAACTTTTTCTCTAATCTAAACGCGTCAAAGTACGTGTTTTGCTAAAAAAGGATCTTTCGGTAAACCAGGCGCACAATATACGAACTCAAATTACTCACAATCACAAACATTATCTCTGACTAATGTAACCCGACTGATAATAGATCTCACTTGTCGAAAAATTATTACCTTCCCAGGGAAAAAAACCGTATCAATGTATTGGAAGTATCACGAAAATGAAATCGCAGGAAATTTGTAGTCACTGCCAATTAAGAAAACTTATTTTTAGGTGCTTATCTATTTGAATTATTGCTTTGTTGATTAGTTTTGAGAGTTCGGATAATTTGGATGATGCTGGGAAATTGGTATAGATAATGTGGGAGAAAAGAACAGCCTACACCAAATTGGACATTTTCATCCGTTCAAAGAGAATTGCGTCTATTGACTACGGTGGTAGTATTGGTTCACAAGAGAAGAGATCGATGCAAGTAATAGTCGGTTATCCTTGCGATAGGCCTTTGTTCAGCCTCATTTTCGTATACTCAAAAAGTGAGCACACTATTAAAATCGTTCAGTGTGTCCGTCCGCCTACATGATGACTTTCGATAGAAGGATCAGGCTGAGCTCAAACTTTCTATACAGCAGCATCCTATCAATACCTCAGTCGAGCTCGAAAGTGACCCGATCGGTTGTACTAATGCTAATTTTCCGTGAAATTTTCTCAGATCTTTATATGTGAAGTTGCATCATTGTGTGCTTGTTCGCGATGCATTCACTTTCTGGATTAATTATGAGCGTCAAACTTCCCATGCACGTTCCTTAAGACTAAGAAAACCTGGAAAGAGCGCTGACTGACCAGTAAGAGGCTACACATTTGTGACTTGAGGGGAGGATGCGTCTGAGTGATATTTTCACCCAAACAGTTTTGTAATAAATAATGCGCGTAAATTTTCATCGAGCTTTTGTAGATCCGAGAAAACGTGTTGGCGGACCAGTGTCGAGTTAGATTTATACAACTTCACACATGTACAACTTGAAACTTGAATTCGAGTTTCAAACGTAGCAGAGCGAAAGCTGTTCAAAAACAGAATTCTTTTTAAGATGTGTGTTTCCATCGGTGAGGCCAATCAATTGTACAATAATCTTCTATTGTTCATTTTTACATCAACATTCTTTTTCGATGTCGAAGATGAGAATCATCGATGGATCACTAAAAGAGTTTTTAAAAAATTTTTATCACTTGTTATACTTTGTATCTCGTACACATTTTGCAACACACATAACTTTTGGATAAAATCCGAAGTTTCCGTATTTATTTTTCGGTATTGTTATTGAAATTCGGTTTTAGTGCATCCAAACTCCGGTATAAGGTTAGTTTTATTGTTGTTATCAGAAAGAAAACGATGCGTTCTTTGCATTCGAACTACTCAGAACACATGTAAAAAATCTTCGTTTATGATTTAAACAAGTCGTCTTACAAGGTATTGTTGTTGATACTCACAATCCACCTTCGGAAAACAATTAATTTCAAAGCGACAAATTACTCGCTATTAGTAGCTCAAGTGAACGAGAGCTGTTCAAACAGTCTCCAATCAATCAGTGCAGACTGAGGCCCACTTGAAATGATTAGTGTTCTTTCCTGTTTAGTGTATAAAATCTTGTCGCAGATAGATTTTCTGGTTTGAATAAATCCTTATGTAGACCACAGTTTGGTCCACGAGTCGAAGCAACACAAATGCAATTGTATAATCTTGCAACCCTCATTCGTGGGGAATGTGTTTAACTTTATACAATATCAGAAGTTGAAAATAACGGTGGACAAGAATTGGAGCGATATTGTTCGTTTCTTGTAATTAATGTGAGAAAGAAAACAAGATGAAATAATTAGCATTCCAAAAATAATAAGGCTAATGTGTGGTTCGTTTTTATTTGAGTGTTCAACTGCCACAGTTTCAATAGCATATAAATCTGGGCACGCTTTTTGACGGGATTAACTTATCTCTTTATGTAGTACCGTGCTCGAAATACCAACACGTTTCAATTCGCGATGCTTAAAGACAGCATTTTGGAAATCACTGCTAGATACTTTTATGGGTACAATATTCACATTTGAAATGGTTTCAACTACCAAAGCCTACTTGCTATCAGAAAGCTATGTTCAGATGAACAGATGGCCGATGTAAATCGGTTGCTGGCAAATAGTCGCCATATGCTGAAAGCTGTTATACAGCAAACTTAAAGGAATCGAAAACTGCCTTCATTGTTGCTAAAACGATGTGTATAGGTGGACTCAGTTTTATATGAAGCTTGGTCCACATTTACCCGACCCTTATTCTTTGTCTCGAAGAAAATCAAAGCTATTCTGGTGTAGCTTTTCTATCATTTGGTTCTCTTTTTTCACACTAAAGTTTCCTTATGTCTTCACCGTCGATAATTCCTTCATTTATTTTATTTCTACATCTCTTTCTAGCTCTTATAATACTTCAGTCCCTACATTTCTCTAGATTCTTCAACTTCTTTGCTTATTCAGTTTCTTTCCCTTTTACCTACAATCAGGAAATCTATTGAGCATCCTTGAATGATCACGATTGATTAGTTTCACTTATATATTGAAGAACGTAATTTACTTCTTCCTAACAATACGCATAATGAGAACGATAACACGAAGATTAAATGAAAACACGAGAATAACGAAAGGGATAAAGAGAAACAGCATACAGTTTGATGCATTCGTCCGTCCACGAGAACCTTATACAGTCTTTCCTCTTCATCGATCTAGCATGATAAAATCTTCTTCTATAACTCATGTGAGCCGCAAAATTGATAAAGCAGTAAAAAGATGTACGAGCCTGCTCTCTCTATACAATGGACTATCCGTTTAACAAGATAATGCACGCGAGTATTTTTTAAATAACTTTCGATAGACGCATGATAGAAAGCAGTGACTTTCACCACTGAGAAGAGCAGATGAAATCGCGTCGATTCATAGACGTCAATGACTTTAATTTGGACTTTTAGGCTATTGTACAATAGTAGGAAAACGAAATGTCGTAAGAACAGGTCTGATTGTCTCAGAAAAAAACGAGAAAAACAAAAAACCCAGCTTTTTCGCCAAGATTACTGGTAAGATGAGATAGAATTATTGAATATAATACTCAGAACTTCCAAAGCAGTAAACCTTTAAGTCAAGCCCTGTATATATTTTTGTAGCTCCTGAATTGATGGCTCCTACTCATCCATTAAAGCTTAAGATTTGTCTTATCTTCATTTAATAGTCATTATTGTTTCTAAGGTGACTATGGACCACTATTGATTTGAGAAATAAATCGCAATGATTTTATATGAATCTATGAGTTATCTCAGTTGCTTTCTAGTAGTCAAACCGCAGCTCTCTACCTTGTGCGCATCGAAAATTATTCCAAAAATACCCATACGCATTATTTTTTCAAACGGACAGTAGTAAATAAAGTGAAATTTTCGCCTCACGGTCAACTCACTCATATTCTTCGTTAAAAAACTTTGTAGTTTTTTAGTATTTAAATTTCATACTTTATATTTTGATACTTTCCAAATCTTCTGTATTAAGTTTTCTAATAATCCGTATTTTCTTGTTTAAAATACCATTAGATTATTAGGTTTTACTTCATGTTACTAACGATATTGTTGGTGATAGTTTAGGGGTTTTCATATTTGAATCACATATACAACGCTGTCAATTGATAGTACCATCATGGAGAGTATATTGTACGATCGTTTTTGCTCCTCGGTTCTTTTAGTGAACAAAACCAACCCAAGTCAAAGAGTACGGACCGGTTCCCATAGGAAAGCGCAGGAAATCACTGGAACATGGAAGCAGTATTCCGACCGGAAATTTTGGGATTTTTTCCGATGATTTTCGGTTAGTTCCTGTCGGAAACCACGTGAAATCGACTGGAATTTACCGGAAAAAAATCCCAAAATTTCCGGTCGGAATACTGCTTCCATGTTCCAGTGAATTCCGGTGCTTTCCTGCGGGATCCGGTGTTTTTTCCGCGGCTTTTCTGCAGGATCCCAAGGGATCCGGACGCCGGAACGTGCGACATGGGAAGGGGGAACAAAGCTGTTAGTATTATATTCACTCGACAGTTTTTTTCCTTTTTCTGACATCCTCTACATTGGAATGAACACGGATACTAACAGATACAAAAGAAATCAGCTGTTCAGAAAGGATGATATGAAATGAAATTCGCCCAAGTAGTTCTCTTTTAGCAATAACAATGACTGAATTATATAAATTATCGTTCATTATACTCATCTAGATAGATACTCTCCATAGAAACATTCAATATTAAGCTGATGGGTTACGTAGAATAAAAGCCTTTCTGGTTTCACGACGGTGGGACGAAGAGTCTTTGAAAAATATACAGTGGTACAGGCAGAGGGAGTCAGCGCACGTCACGTGTGAATTCTCCAGTGTATCAAAAAGCCGCTGTCCCGCACGTTTTTTATGTGCACTATCCTTAACCTTGGCAGCCGATGTTACAAAGGGATAGTACACCTATAGCTGCAATGTGAAAAATATATACGATTCATTCAAATATAGAACTATCTACTAGGAACTCGCTTCATCCAATTATTTCTCTATAATTTGAGAAATGTCCCGTTTGATTTCCTTTCGAATAGAACTTAACTTCCATAGGGCTTCGTTAACCGAAACACAACAAAGCTATGAGACGTGTGTTACAGTGCACGGAATCGTCATAAACTTCTTTCGCTGAAGTGTTATTTACTTACATAGACCGCACATCCACGATACAGTCTATTCTTAACCCAGATACATGGATCATTTAAGAAGAAAAATAGTTTTCACCGCTTTACTATAGTTTCTGGGGAAAAAAAGTACTCTTTGTGAGCTGTTCACTCTGGAAAACCTATAGGTTCTTGAGGAGATCAAACATATTGTGCATGCTCAAGGAAAACACAGTACTTCAATCTAGTTCAAAATTTTAGAGTATACAGGTGGTTAGAACCAATATCTTCACTCAAACTTTACAAATACTAGAAATTAATATAGCGAAGAAACGAGGATACACTAACGTGCAATTTTGATCAGAGTTGCGACAACAACAGCGACTTACCGACGCATCGTAATTCACTAATGAGTTGAGCAAGTTCACCGATGCTGCAGTGTATGGTAATAACGATTTATTGATGAATACAATCAGTGTGAAGCTAGCACGAAGGAGCTAGCACGAAGAAACTGTGTGTAAGCTAAAAACTTTTTTTCACAAGTTTGTTCGGTTGATAAAACCTAGTCCATTCGATTCAGAATTCAATTCTGCATCGAATGGCGGTATTTTTATTCACCGGACAAACTTGTGAAAAAAGTTTTTAGCTTACACACAGTTTCTTCGTGCTAGCTCCTTCGTGCTAGCTTCACACTGATATGAATACAGGATGTTGCTGAGTGACGGAATCAATCGTCAGTATACCATGACTGTTGTGTCTCTAACTACAATGTACAGCCTGAATTTTTTCTCAGGATGCAAATAGCACATCCAGTATCTTCATAAATTTTGACTCTAATGAATAATCGTTTACCACAAGTCGCTGGTTTAAACATTTACATTTATAGACATACATAGTTGGTTATCCACGCACAGGTAATCAGAACTTCTAGTATTATAGAAAGATTGGTCGCTCGCAGTCTTCTCATATTCTCACCATCTAAACCTACCTTCAGCATAGTACACTTACCTGCGCGGTCCTCAACATCCTTCTACTCTCCATCTTCTTCCTTGCCCACACCTACATTCTCAAAGCGGGTAAAAACTATAAAATGTATCATCTGCAGAGAGATGATAAAGTATTTGAATCCGGATTGCAACGCGCAGGTTCAGGAATGGCTTTAAACCAATATTTAAACTCGAACTGTACTAATGTGAGGAGAGGAAAAGCGAAAAAGGTAGAGTTTACTCACGTGCAACTGCAATTCGAGATCCAATAACCATGAAGACTTAGCTATGAGCTGTGGTTCGGGAATGAGTTCACCAGGTTCATGGATCCTCCACTATAAAATGCATACCAGTTCATCAATGAATCTCAGGTATTACTGAACGACGAAATCCACTGCACGTACATCATTATTGTTGCATTCCTAATCGTGATATTTCACCTAAACCTATTTCCAACGTTACTACACACTCACAGAATCTTCCTGAAGTTTGAGTCTAGTGGATAGTTCACCACACTGCTGGTCGTTAGTCCTAACACTTCCGTTTATCGACAAGCACAGATGGTTGAACTTCTACTCTTATCGAGAGCTTTGCATTTCCCACCAGTGATCGCCCATACGTATACCCAAGAACCTTCTGAGTTCTCAATACCTCAATTTATCTTCAACTTATCACATCTAGTCGCACACTTTTCAACTCTCGCTTTTCTTTCTCACCCTCACATCCACCCTCACACTTCAATTCATCTTTATTTTTCACAATCAAATACATACATAAAACTAAAAATATGTTCCAAGCGTTAATACTAGGATCTGCTTCTTGTATTGGCATTTCAATGACCAACATAATGAATGAAACAACCTTCACCTCATATGGCGCGTTAGTTTACGAGCTTTCCAAAAGAGATGACTCCCATAATAGAAGGTTTGGGCTTAATTTCTAATGCCATAATAAGAGAGCGGGAGGCGTTAACCGATAATGAATAGCTTTGACGTTGTTGTATATAATGCAGTTTCATCCAACAATATGGTAGTTTGTCCCGTTCATATAACAATATCGAAATACATAGATTGTTCATAGTTGGAATATGTGTATTCATAGTAGGTGCCGAGTTAGCCGAAAAGTCCTGTTATTTCATTTGTTATTACTTGTTTCTCAAGTGTATCCGCATTCACGATTTCAGGGTCATTTCATCGACTTGTCTTGTAAACATGTTTCAGGGAAACGACGAGAGAGAGAGGATAAGAAAAGAAGAACTGCTGTTCCGGTTCAAGTCGTGCTAAATCGTAGCATTACCCCAATTTCGGCTTCCCGAAATTGTATGCGAAACAACAGGGGGAGAGAGGCAGGAAGAGAGGATGGGGAAAGAAGAACTGTTGTTCCGGTTCAAGTCGTGCTAAATCGTAGCATTACCCCAATTTCGGCTTCCCGAAATTGTATGCGAAACAACAGGGAGAGAGAGAGAGAGAAAGAGAGGGAATTGGACAAACCTGCATAGATGACATTGTTTTGCGAAGTGTTTCGTACTCCATGAATGCGTTGATTAAACTTGATATAAGTATGGCTCGTGATGATGGACGCAGATCGAACAAGTTGCCAGGCCATCAGTGGTTTTATTTGTTACCAATCGAACAAATTATACAATGATAGATGACGCGGTTACTAATGTGGTATATTGACCGTGTCCAGAATGTGGTGTATGCTTTGTATTTTTTAGATGAATGCTTGATATCATCGGTATCCTACAGTGTAACGGATTATCGTGCATATTTTTCGTACATTCGATGCTTTTCACCCGAAAACAGTACTAGTGACGGGAAGTAATCTGGATGCATACTCGTTTCAGCATTCTGTTACGTTAATGGTTTTTGCAGGTGGTCATTTTTATGGAATCAGTATTCGGTTATCCCCTGTTAATATAATATGTTCGCCGAATACTTATTTGAGTACGATGAATAGGAACAGACCCGTAAAGGGTTTGTTAGATTATACCATATATCTCACTTGCACAGTCACATCGGCAGTTATCAATAATGATTGATTTTAAACGATCCATTTGTATCTTTAGGCCGATACGAGAGGTTGATGATATTCAGTAATTTCTCCTCTTGAATGTTACATCCTTCACTCACCTAGTCATCACGAGACAAAAAATTATTGTGCCTATCGTATTACTTTCTCTTTTTATGTGCGTTGAATCGACGATAGCCTTCATTTTCTCCGCATCAGTAACTTTTCTTTGGATATTTTCAGTGAAGAAAAAGCGTGCATCGATGTGTACAAGTGTCTTTAATGCAAATATGTAATTACCTGTATCTCTCACCTATACTCAAATTGTGTGGATGCGTTATTGCATAACGTGAAATGCTTGATAAACAAAACCTTGTGAGATAAAAATAGATTTAGAATCGAAAAAAATGGTGAACGCGATTAATCTTTGTAATTTCATATCTGTATAAAAGCGAACATTGCCTTTACACTGATGGATTTTTATTTTCATTTGGTTTCAGAGATATATTTTCAAACGAGTGAGACTAAAAGTAAAGAAAGGAGATAGATAGTATTAATTATGTGATAACTCGTTTGTATCCGTAGTCAAACATCTTGTACCAGGGTTTTGAAATGACTAAAGCGACGTCATTGATTTAAACAGATATTCAGGACGGACGTTCCGGCCCACGGAACCGGCTCGTTCCTAGTCAATCCCATGGTACGGTTCCCGTCGGAACTCACAATACCCGACCGACAAAAAAGTTACCAAAAATATCAGCAAAGAGGCAACCGATCGTACCCTGGGAGAACTGCGCGGAAAAGTCAAACGGATTATCTAGGTTTCCGAAACACCGGAACATTACGTCAGCTTCCACCAAAATTCCAAGCCTTCCGACGAATTATGGTCGGATCCCGTCGAATATTCCGACTAAATCCAGCCGACAGCACCCGATAAGTATCCCCTGATTCCGACCATATCCCAACAGATCCAACGATACCCCAGTAAATTCGATCCAAAAAACATGAAAACCATAACCACCAGTAAAAAAACTCGGAACCTGTTCACGACTATCATCCACCGCCATAAACAGATCCTCCACATCAACAACGAAAAATCTCACAACACTAACGCATCCAAAAATTTGAGATTTTTTAGCGGATTTAAATCGAATTTTTAATCCTCGATATAAAACATCGCCAAAAAGTTTTCAAATTCAAAATTCGTTCATATATCGATGAGATTTTTGAGTAAATTTAAATCGGCTTGAAAATCCTACTCATACATGAGTTAGAAATACTGGATCAAAGATTGCTTTGTGATTATGACCTATTGCGAAGTTAATTGTTTGTTGCAGTGAAGTGTTTTCGAAGCGTTGAAGAAAAACAGAAAGAAATGGGAATAGTTTGGAAAAGTTGGGTTCTCTATGGTAGCAAACTCATCCTCGGATCCGTTCGGAGACGATCAGAAACGGACGGATTTGGCCTGGGAAAGTCCGGCCTGGAATCCTGCGTAACGAAATCGCCGGAATGTTCTGGATCCTGCCATGTCCAAGCCGGATTGTTCGACCTGGTACTTTGTTGTATATGTACTGGCGAACATTTAATAAATATGAAAGAATAAATTCTACTTTTCGTTAAATTGAAGGAATGTGATCGTGGATTATCATTAGAACAATGTATATAGCACTATGAGCCTATGATGGTGCTAATATGCGGTTACCTTTTTTGTTATTATCAACAATTGCGACCTTTTCTTCGCAGTTTGACCGCAGTCGAGAACATAGACACAATGAAAAGAAAAACTAATGTTTTTTTATTCTTCATCAAAGAATAACCGTTGAACTCGTATCTTTTCGCTATGACAAAATAATAGTGAAGAATCCATTTCCATTCTGTTCTCGTTGCCGAGAAACAATAAATAAACTATGTCTTGTGTAACACTATTTTACTTTTTTTTCATTTAAACACAGAAAAAAAATACGACAAAGTGGTATCAAATTCAAATAAGTTTTTTTTTCTTCTCTTCTCACTCTAAAATTTTCACAAAAAGATATATCATTCATTTTTTTTCTTAATGTGTCCCAAGTAGCAAGTGCAACAGTTTCTTTGTTGATGTTCGCCGTTTGCACATGACTTTACAATTAATTAAAGAACAAAATCATGTAAAAAGTGTATGTGGTGCATATTCGATCACTAGTGATATCGAAAAACAAATTCAATTTCATTTCTAGATCATCGAGAAGCTCAATCTTCAGCTTTCAGATGGTTCTACGTAAGTTAGTCTTCGTTTCTTGAATGAATATATCTTTTAAATACACTTTAGTAAAATTCCAGCTGATTTTGGTTTTCTCAAATTTGATGTTCGTAGTGACAACTATACAAACAATCGTTTATCACAGGTGAAAGATTTTGGATTCTCTGAGAAACAAACATTCAGTT